GTTTTTGAGGTCCATCCATGTCGTAGCATGTATTAGTACTTCACTTGTTAAATGGCCAAATAATATTCCATTTTATGGATATACCACATTTTAGTTTATCCATTCATGAGCTGATGGACATTGAGTTGTTTCCACTTTTTGGCTGTTGCAAACAATGTTGCTATGAACGTTCTTGTACAGAGAGTTTCTTTTTGGGGTGATGAAATTGTTCTAAAATTGACTGTGGTGATGGTCCCACAACTCTAGATATACTAAAAGCCATTGAACTGTATACTTTAGTGTGTGTAAATTATATCTCAATAAAACTGTTACCTCCCAAAATGCAAAACACTATATTGTTTTGAGATGTATATATGGGTAGTAAAAGTTGACAGAAATGCATGGAAATGATACCATACTCAAGAAAGTCGTTGCCTCTAGGGAGAAAGGAAGAGGATGTGACTGGGGACCAGTACCAGAGGGCTCAGCGGTGGGTAGGGTTTCATTTCTTAAACTGAGCGGTGGAGACACGGGTATTCATTATATTAGTCTTTAAACTTTTTGTATGATTGAAATACTACACAACACAATTTAAAATAACTGTTTAACAAGAGTGAGTGATTGGGATGCACAGGATATCACAAGATGCAAAAATCATCACACACTAACTGCAAAGAGAAAAAGAAGTGTTTTTTTTTTAAAGATTGACACCTGAGCTAACATCTGTTGCCAATCTTCCATTTTTCTTCTTCTTCTTCTTCCCAAAGCCCCCCAGTACATAGTTGTATATTCTAGCTGTAGGTCCTTCTGGTTGTGCTATGTGGGACACCGCCTCAGCATGGCCTGACGAGTGGTGACATGTCTGTGCCCAGGTTCCAAACTGGAGAAACCCTGGGCCACCGAAGCAGAGTGCACGAACCTAACCACTCGGCCACGGGGCCGGCTCCTCTTCTTACTTTTTTAATGTAACTACTAGAAAAATTTAAATTACATCTGTGGCTCCCATTAGATTTGTATTGGACAGTAATGCTCTAGACAGAACTTACATCTTATACTCTATAGAGCGGATGAAGGTGCAAGTAAACAGGGGCATGGGGAAACAATTAGAACAAGTCAAAATTTGGGATATTTTACAAGACATCTGTCCGAGACTACAAAAAGTCAATGTCATTGAAAAAAAGAAAAGGAGCTGTTCTAGATTAAAAGAGGCTAAGGTGACATAACCAAATGCAATGCGTGGAACTTGATTGAATCAGGGTTTTTTTTAAAGTTCATTAAAAGATATTTTTGAGACAACCTGGGAAAATTAAATATAGGCTGGATATTAGATGATATTATAGAAACATGTTGATTTTCTTATGTATGAGAATGGTGTGGTGGATATGTAGGAGAACGTTCTCGTTGTTAGGAGATTCCCGCTAAGGCATCTAGGAGTGAAGTGGTATAATCTTCACAACTTACTTTCAAATAGCTCAGCAAAAGAAAAAGTGTGTGCGTGTGTGTGTGTGTGTGTGTGTGTGTGTGTAGAGAGAGAGCGAGAGAAAGAGAGAGAATAAAAGCAAATTTAGGGGCCAGCCCAGTGGCGCAGCGGGTAAGTGCGCACGTTCCGCTTTGGCAGCCTGAGGTTTGCGGTTTGGATCCCTGGTGGACATGGCACCGCTCATCAAGCCATGCTATGGTAGACACCCCACATATAAAGTAAAGGAAGATGGGCACGGATGTTAGCTCAGGGCCAGTCTTTCTCAGCAAAAAGAGGAGGATTGGCAGCAGATGTTAGCTCAGGGCTAATCTTCCTCCCCCCAAAAAAAGCAAATTTAGCAAAATGTTAATTATAGAATCTAGAATGGTTTACAAATACTCATTGTACTAATCTTTCAACTTCTCTGTGTATGAAATTTTTCATGATGAAAAGTTAGGGAAATGACAAAATTAAAAAGAATGAATGGGAGATGAGGAAGTGGAGACAGTTTGTGGAGCCAACCCTTTTAAGAAGTTTGGCCATGAACTGAAGTGAGGAACAGGGCAGTAGCGGTAGCAGGTATGTAAGGTCAAGGAAAGTGTTTTTAAAAATAGGGACTTGAGAGCGTTTAAATGCTAAATGGGAAAGAGACAGTAGAGAGGAAGAGAATGAAAGATACAAGTTATTCTGATCAGATTTCTGACTCATGCCTGGGGATAGACCCTCTGAGAGAGATTCAAGATACCCCCTAAGAAATGTTCTACCCCACCTCTCCCCGTTCCACGCCTCCTCGCTATCCCCAAGCGTGGTGAGAAAGTAGTCTTTGTGGTGACATCTAGTGGATTCAAAGGGCACTGCTTAAATTCTTCACACTCCGCTCTATGTACACCCGCAACCAGGAGAGCATTACGCTGGTCTTCTGACCACTCCAAATTATTTTCAATTGTTATACATATATAATTATGCTCAAATTATTTTGTTCATTGCTAGACCAGCCTAGGAAGTACAACACTACTAAGTAAGCTCATCCTCTCCCTCACACAGCCCACAAAGCCCTTTGACCACCTCTCGTGTCTCTCCGCCACTCTCCTCACAGGGAGGCAGAACACAGGCGGGGTGGAGGAAGGGACCAGGAAAGATAATCCTCCCAGTTGCAGTCAGGTGGCCACTGCAGCCTGGGGAGCGCAAGGTGGATGTTCCTCAGCTATATAAGCTTCCAGGATTGTGCAGAGCTTAAACTGTGGGCTCTGGAGTCAGAATAACTGGGTTCAAATCTCTGCTAGCTGTGAGATGAGGGCTGAGGACTTGGCCTCTCTGTGCCTCTGATGAGAAATCTCTCGAGACCTCAATTCTCATCTGGAAAGCAGAGTTGATAAACCAACCTCCTGGTTTTATTGGGAAGATTAAATGAGAGAATGCACGTAAAGCCAAACATAGTGAGTGACAAAGGACACTCTTCCAAAGGTCAACTCTTATCGTCAGCCCTGAAAGGGAGCAGATGACTAACCAGTCTGGCGGTGGCTGAGATGGGGATGAGGGGAGAGCCCCATACTACTTCCTCTGTCCTCCTGACTTCCCACTTCCACATTTTGGCTGTCAAGCCCTATGCCTGCTTCAAGGCCTAGGTCATCTCTTCCAAAACATTTTCTCTTATTATGTGCCAACTCCCATCTCCAGACCAGTAGTGAATCGCCTGGGCTTTGTTCCTTGAGCACTTATCATCTTGCGTCTAGTCCCATTCTTACAGCTCCTACTTCAACCAACCTAATTTATTTATTTTTGCTGAGGAAGATTAGCCCTGAGCTAACATCTGTTGCCAATCTTCCTCTTTTTTTTGCTTGGGGAAGATTAGCTCTGAACTAACATCTGTGCCGATCTTCCTCCACTTTATATGTGGGATACCACTACAGCGTGGCTGGCAAGTGGTGTGGCTCTACTCCCAGGATCCAAACCTATGATCCTGGGCCACTGAAGCAGAGGGCACTGAACTTAACCACTACACCATGGGGGTAGCCCCCCCAACATAATTTATTCCCCCAAAATAATTTTACCTGTTTTTGAACTTCTCCTAAATGGAATCGTAGAGTGTATAGTCTTATGTGTCTGGCTTCTTTTGCAGAATGTTATATCTATAAGATTCATTCATGCAGGTAGTAGTTGTTTGTCTTTTTTATTGTTATATAGGATTCCACCATAAGAATACACCATAATTAATTTATTCATTCACCTGTTGAAAGTCACTTGGGCTTTTCCCCAAAGAAACAATAATTTCTTTATCATTAATAAAACCACTATGATCACTGTTGTATATATCTCTTGGTAGACATAAGCACTAATTTCTCTTGGGTATACACCTGGGAGTAGAAATGCTAGGTCATAGTTTAGGTGTACATTAAGTTTTAGTAGATACTATCAAACAGTTTTCCAAAGTGGTTGCAGCAATTTACACTTCCCCAGCAATGTATAAAAGTTCCAATTGCTCCATTCCTCACTGAGGCCTGGTATTGCCACTCTTTTCAATTTTGTGCATACATAATCTGATTTAGGCTTTTTAAAAGAACACCCAACTGAAGAGTAAAGAACCAGCTGGTGCGATCAGGGGTGGGTCAGAGAGAAGAAGCCGAAAGACCAGGTAGGAGGCTAGTGTGGTTGTCTAGGGAAGATATGAATGTGGTTTGGACTGGTGGTAATAGAGGAGTCTCAGAGAAGTGGACCAATCCAGGATATATTCTGGAACTGTAGCCTATGGGACTGGCTGATGAGTGAGGGAGGAGAGAAAGAGGCATTGAAAACTTGGGCGGGGGGCTGGCCCCGTGGCTGAGCGGTTAAGTTCGCGCGCCCCGCTGCAGGTGGCCCAGTGTTTCGTCAGCTCGAATCCTGGGCGCGGACATGGCACCGCTCATCAAACCACGTTGAGGCAGCATCCCACATACCACAACTAGAAGGACTCACAACGAAGAATATACAACTGTGTACCGAGGGGCTTTGGGGAGAAAAAGGAAAAAGAATAAAATCTTTAAAAAAAGAAAACTTGAGTGGATGAGAGGACTGTTTTTTAAGATGCAGCAGATTGGGGAATAGCAGATGTAGGGTGAGGGAAGGTCAAGGGCTCGTGTGTAGCTGTTTGGGTACATGATGTCTCCTGCAGCTTAGGCTCTAGATGCCCCATACTTTAGTGTAAATGGTAAATACTGGTGGTGTGAATAATGCATGCTGTCTGCAGGGGACAGATCTGGGTTAGGGGCCCAGTTCTACCCCCTCACTTACCCTGTAACTTGGAGCTTATGCTGGGACTGCCCAGCTTCCGTCTTCCACCTTACAGTGTTAGAATTAAACAAGATCACATATCTATGGCACCCGGAACATGGAACAACTAAAATATTCACTCTTCCAAGTTCCAGGCTCCATGTGACATGTCTCATGAGGTTGGCACCTTTTCCTCTCATCCACATTTTCAAAGTCACTCCAGAACAGTCCTGCTGAGGGGCCCAGCACAGTCCCCTCTTGCCTCCTTCAGCCCTTCCCCAGGCTCAAAGAAACAGAATGGAGAACAGCAGGCGGGTTGATTCATAGACTTTATCGGCTTTTACTCCACCCAGAGGTTTCTGCAAAGACAACCAAGCCTGTACAATACACACGGTTCACTCTGTTAAAGCTGTGGGGCACGGGGTGGGGAGGAATGGGGTCCAGGGGGGACCAGGAGGCCCCATGGAGGCAGCAGGGCAGGCGTCAAGGCTAGGGGCGGGCAGCAGCCGGACTGAACCAGTGGGCCCCAGTGTTCGAGGAGGGCTGTGGGAGCTGGAGTGAGAAGGCTGCTGAGGGGGGTTAGGAGGAAGGGTGGCAGCAGGGAAAGGAGGGAGCATTAGCAGTTGCAGGGAGGAGGCAGGAGCAGGAGGGGGGCCATGGTCATTGTCTACAGGGGACACAGTTGGGGGGGAGGACAGCGCCCATGTATGTGTGGGTGGGGGTGGGGAGTCCATAGACGTTTTCTGCAGCAGGAGCAAGACAGACCGCTGTATAAAAGGGACTGTACAACATAACCTATGATACATTGTTTACATATGATACAAGGCTCTTTCTCTCTTTGAGTTTTAAAAAATAAATTTACAATTCCAGAGCTTTTGGTAAAAAATATATACACCTCCAGAGCAGGAGCGGCAGCTGCTTTTGCTGCTGCTGCTGCTGCCTCTTCAGAAGGGAAAGAGGTGGTGCCAGAGAAGAGGGTGAGGCTGCGCCAGGAAACCCCACCTAGTAGCTGCCAGGAGCCCCTGCACCCCTCAGCCCTGGAGGCCCGTGATGGGAGAGGGAAGGGAGACAGAGAGGTAACAAAGGCATGGCCAGAGTCCAGTTTTGCCTTTACAGTCTCCGCCATTTCCTCCCCCCACTTTTGGGGGATGCCCTCCCCAGGTACAGGGGTCCAGGTACAAGGGCCCGCTCCACCCAAGCTCTGATGAAGAGGACAAACGGGGAGTCAAGACAGGGAGAAGGAGGGGCTGGCCTGGTGGCGTAGTAGTTAAGTTCATGTGCTCTGCTTCAGTGGCCTGGGGTTTGCCAGTTTGGATCCTGGGCGTGGACCTGCATATCGCTCATCAAGCCATGGTGTGGTGGCATCCCACATACAAAACAGAGGAAGATTGGCAACAGATGTTAGCTCAGGGCCAATCTCCCTCACCAAAAAAAAAAGAGAGAGAGAGAGGGAGAAGGATAGAGACTATGTTGTTGGTGTCATATATAAGAGCCAGAAGGGGATGACAGCTCCCTTCTTAGCAGTGAGACACCCCAAAAGCAGGAGTGCAGGCACCCCTGACTCCTGATACCGCCACACCCTACCTCACTGCAGTGCAGAGGGAGGGTCCAGTAGGAAGCCTAGGCCCGTGTTTCCCTGAGCATCTTTTACCCTCTCGTGGGAGCCCACCCAGGGACCTTCAAGAGGCCTGAGTGGGGAGCTTACAAGGGCTGATGGGTAACCCCTCCTACCTGCGGCTGCTCCCTGACCTCACAAGCAGCTTCGCCCACAAGCCTGGGCATGCAGGGCAGCAGAGGAGCTGAGCAGGGAGTGGTGCGGGTGGGGAAAGCAGCCCGCACTGTCCCAGGGGCAGAGTGGACAAGGGTAGCACCAAACAGAAGGACTCCCCCGCAGCACATACAACACCCTCCCTGAATTACCAGATGCGCTCCTCCTCCTTAAAAGGGGACACACGCACATACACACGCAGACACAAGGGCAATATAATATGCAGGGGGGTACATCCAGGGGTCCCAGCCCTGACCAGGGAGATGGTAGACAGGTGGCAGAGAGGAAGGCTGCCAATCCCGCCCACAGTTCTGTTCGATGAGACAGGAGGGTGGGCAGCTTTCCTCCCTGCTTGGGAAGAGAAGGTCGGACACTCCATCTCCAGAACAGACCTCCATGGGAGGGGACAGAGGAAGGAGCTCTCTGCCCCCTTTCCCTTCGAGGGCAGGAACCAGCAGAGTGGTTTTGGCTTGAAGGAGCCAGGGGGAGAGGACTTCAGCAGGATGAACAGGCTTATGAGTCCAGGGGTAAATCCAGCCAACTCCTTCCCATGGGGCGGGAAGCTGCTCCAGGGGAGAGATGTCAGAGGTGGGTTGGGACATCATACAAAGTGCTTGAGTGCCAGGTGCCCGAGGACCCTGGTGGGGGGCCGACCAGAACCTCTGTTCTCACTGACTATTAGCCTCCAGCTTGTAGGAGAGCTCGAAGAGGAGGTTCTGGTTGTCGATGACCTGAAACTGGCGCACGTAGGCCTTGGTCTGCAGGTGATGGGGAGATGCCTCCATATCCAGGCCTGGGGGCATAAGAAGAGAGAGGCCCATTGGGTGCCTAGCCTCCCTTCTTCCTCTACACACAAATGGGCCAGAGGAGAAGGGTGTGAATTGGGACAGGTGTCGGGCAGGAGGGCCCCTAAGGAGGCCAAGGAGAGAATGGAGAACATTTGGGCAGGGAGTTCTCCCCGGAACACTCCACTGCTCTGCCTATAATGCACTCAGAGCCCTGGGTACTCACAAAGGGGCCGGCTCCGGTATCTGCGGATTGTCCTCACTTTTTCAGCCACTGAATGCTGGGAGATAACAAAGAATGAGCCCTAAAAAGGACACTGAAAGACCCTCCCCCTCTCATGCTCCTCTGCCTCCATTCTCAAACTCAGTTGATTTTACTCCCTCCAGTCCCCAATTCTGGACGGTCTCAGGAGGACCAAAGAAGGAGGTGTAACAGGGTGCCAGGTGAGAGGAGGTAGAGTTGCCCCCAACTGCCTGTCAGCTTGGCCACCTGTGGGCGGGGTGACAGTCAGGGAGACAGTCAGGCATCTATCTGCCAGGCAAGCTGGATGCCAAGGAGGAAGGCTGCTGTCTCTAGGGGGGTGCCAGGAGAGGGGGAGGATGCCAGCCCCCCGCTCATGGGACTGGAGCTGGCAGTGCCACTCACCAGCTTCTCAATGTTCACCAAGCCATCCACAAGGGTCTTACTCCCCTCGTGCAGAAAAGTCAGGTCTAGGGGATGAGGAGGGAAGTAAATGGATAAGAGAGGAGGTCCAAAGGGCCCTTCCCCTGCCCCAGAACCCACTCAATCTAGGGGGTTCCTCTTTAGGTAGGCACTCAGAGCTCAGTTGAGAGGGGACTGAGAGGCGGAACTGGGGCAAGGAGAAGTGGAGAGGAGAGCACAGCCTGGGAACGACTCACCTTTGAGGACCAGAGGCACGAAAGGAATCACAGGGGGTTTCATCTTGGAGATCACTTCTCGGTAGCTTTTGTGGTTCCTGCAGGGGTCCTAGCATTCCACAGAAGAGGGATAAAGGGACAGACAGGCCCAAAGGATCCCAAAGACATCCCCTACTCCCTCCCTCATCCACTTGTCCTAGACACATCTCCGATCAGATAGGGGTGGGTATGAGTGTCTAGCTGGAGGGACCTGACTGCTCTCCCCTTTCCTCCAGGGAAAACGGGGTAGCATCGTTGCACTCTGCCCCTCCCAGGAGGGTGGGGCAAGGAGGAGGAGGGGGAGTCCCAGGCACTAAAAACCTTGAGAGGGATGCCCTAGAAAGAAGGTTTAGGGGAACAGAGAGTCTCTGGGGTACAAGTCCAGAGGCAGATCAAAGAGCCAAACCTACTCACTGTCAAGTTCTCAAATTTGCGGAACAAGTTCTTGAATTTCCCTGGCAGCTTCTGCAGAGAGTTTGAAGGAAAGAAAAGGAATGTCAGAATGAAACTCCTTGGGTTTCACGGGAGCTTCTGGCTAATCCCCAGGTGTTAGAGGTGGAAAGGGCCTATGTGTGTCTCCCAGGGGGCTGGGAGGCTGGTGGTGAAGTAGAGTCAGCCCTTCGCTCAGTCTGGGGAGCTTGCAGTAGCCCAAAGGAATACATTATTCTGGGGGAAAGGGAGGCTTCTGCTTATACACGTGCCACGGACAAGGTGCCTCACTGAACGTTGGCTGAAATCCAATAGCCGAGTCTGTGACCTTGCCTGGGCTGTCTGACCCCACTCAGGCTGAGGACTCCGCCTCTGGACTAATCTGGACTAGGCCAGGGTCCATTAGCCAAGCTGTGTGCCCTAGGGCCGGATCTGCCAGAAGAGGGCGCCTCCTTCCAATGGGCACAAATGCTCCCTATAGGCTAGCAGCAGCCCCAGGAGGTCGCATCGGGTGAGCCCAGGGTGTCAAGACTGAGGCTGGAGGCCAAGATCCCCGGAGGGGGCCAGCACAGACCGGAGGAGAGGGAAGAATTCTCATCACCTCCCAGGTGAGCCGCAGGCGGCTGACAGCAGCGTTGTCCAGCCCCATGACCACAGCGTAGAAGGACAGCAGGTCCTGGTTCTGCTTGCAGCTGTAGGGGTGCGAGGCCGGGTCAGGGGGCGGTCAGGCGGCGGCGGCCGCCCGTCCTCCGCGCTCCCCCATCGCCAGCCGGCCGCACTCACATGGCCGCGATCTTGATGAACTTCTTGAGCAGCTGCGCGCGCTTGCCCGGGGCCTCGCAGAGCAGCACCTCCGTGGCCACCCAGTGTGTGACCTCGCTGCAGCGCTGCAGCAGCAGCTCCAGGTTGGCCGTCTCGCGGCGGCCGCGCTCCCCGTGGAACACGTAGTCCACGAACTCCAGCTGCACCCACGGTGGCGGAGGGCCCGCCAGGGCGTGGGGGGTGTGGGTGGGAAGATGGCAGCGCAAGGCGGTGAGGAGAGAACGGCAGGAGGGCGGGGGCGGGAGGGGTAGAAAATAGAACAAACCAGGACAGGACAGGATGCAGCAGAGATGGGGAAAAAAACAACCAACATTAATAATACTCTACCGTCTATGGAGCACTCACTAGGTGCCCCGCCCTTGCTAGAGGCTGACTTGTTCTCAAGGCAGCCAATTGATAGACATTATTGTCGCTGCCTTATTTGATGTCTTTAATAGTGAATATTTTAAAAATACTATGGATCAGGTTCTGTGTAAGCTTCACTTGGGCCCTGAACTACTCTGCTAGGGGGTCTATCTGTTTATTGTTTTTTTCAGAGGAAGGGACAAAGGCTTAGAGAGGTTATAACTGCATTGCCCAAAGGCATGCTGCAAGTGAGCACTCCTACTAGGAAGTTCGGCTGCAGACACTGCCTCCCTCCAGGCCCCGGCATTGGCACATTTCTCCCTCCAGGCCCCCAGCCCTGCACCAGGCCTCAGTCTCTACCTCGTGCACACATCGGAACAGCTCCCAGTGGAAGGCAGTAAGGTGGTTGGCAACGTCCTCAGGCTCCACCCGGTGGATCTCTGTGTCTCCAGGGGAGACCTGGATCTCCTCAGGGAGGGGCACCTGGTGGCAAGCAGGGACACAGGGGCTGGCTCCACCCTGGGCTTGTGAGTTTCTGCTCCCAGCCCCTCCCAGCCCTGGCTACCAGCCAAGGCCTTGTGAACTTCTTACCAGGGCCTCATAGCTGTCCCGGGTGCAGGCAAACAGGTGGCTGTTGATGCCCAGTGTGGTGAAGACACAGTCTTCATGCGGCTGGAGAAGGACCTTCTCTGAAGAAGAAGGAGCTGCTCTGCCTCAGCCCGGGCCACCTGCACCCCCACACACCCCAGCCACTGTCGCCATCCCATGCAGATGCTCCTAACCCTGCATGGACAGGTTCTAGACTAACGGGACTCGTACTAACACCAGGTTAAGCTGTATTTATATGAAACTTTTCAAATGATTTCTTCTGCATTTATAACCTCTTTTTTGCTCCCAACGTTCTTTCATAGCTCTTGATTCATTCTATCATCCCTGTGACACTGGGAAAGCAGGAATTTTTTTCCCATCTTAGAGGAAAATAAGGCTATGACTACACTGCAGGCTTTTTGCTTTCCCACAGGGATTGGAGGCCTATCCTGTGTCTTTAGCCTCAAAAACGTAGCATCCTTAGGTATTAGAGGAAGTTAAAGGACCAGAACACGATCCCAAAGTAAGAGGCAAGCACCCAGATTGGAATCCACCTGTCCTGGACCAGTGCCTCACAAATGTTAATGTGCATAGGAATCACCTGGGGATCTTGTTAAAATGTACATTCTGATTCAGCAGGTCTGGAGTGGGCTCTGAAATACTGCATTTTTATTTTACTTCATTTATTTTTTATTTTTTTGTGAGGAAGATTGGCCCTGAGCTAATATCTGTTCCAATCTTCCTCTATTTTGTATGTGGGATGCTACCACAGCATGGCTTGAGCGGTTCATAGGTCTCCGCCTGGGATCAGAATCTGTGAGCCCCAAGCTGCCAAAGCAGAGCGTGCAAACTTAACCACTATGCCACCAGGCCGGCCCCAGAAATACTGCATTTTTAACAAGTTCCCAGGTGATATTCATGTGGCTTGCCCAGGGATCACACTTCAAGTAGCCCAGGCCTAGAATTCAGTCTTCACCCCTGCCCCAGGGCACTGGACTTGTCAGTTTCTCTTCTTGTGGCCCCCAGCCCAGCTTTTCCTGACCCTCACCTCCTGAGGAGGCCACAGCTACCAGGATGAGGGAATCCTCACGCCCTGCAGGCTCCTCCGAGTACTGCAATTTCTCCGTCACAGAGCCCAGAATGTCCTGCACAGACGCTGACAGGCGGCTGCGTATGGTCACGTAAGAGTGGTCAGGCATGTAGACCCGGCAGAAGACTGGACAGACAGAAGAAGGTGGCTTTTCATCAGAGGGCAGCATGGCAACACTGGCACAGTCCCCTCCAGGGCACATCTGTTCCCCACCCACTCCACCCCTAACCCTAAATTGATTGGCCTCTGAAAAAGATGCTGTGAAAAGGACTGGTTCTAGTGCACAAGGAGACTCCACAGAGGAGGCCTAAGACCCAGAGACCCCACAGGGCCCCTGAGCCATTCAGGAAGCCCTGCCCCTCCAAATGCCCATACTCACTCTCATCTGAGCCCCGGAAGGCCACTCGGGTCTGCAGACAGGAGTCTATCCGGCGGAAGTGGCGGAAAAGTGGCTTCACCTGCTTGCTGGGTGGCTGGCTCTCCTCTGGGATCCTGGCATGGACACAGCTGGGCATCAGGGAGCCCTGCCAGGCATATGGAGCACCAGGCAGGCAACATCAAGCAGGGATATCAGAACTGGGTCAAGGCTGCACCAGCACCAGGTTCAGAAAGTGGTGAAGGAGGTCAGAAGAGAGGACAATGACCAGCATGGCACAACTGTCCAAGTGACCCAAATCAAATGCCACCTCTTCCATGAATTCTTCTCTGATCCACCCCACCTACCAGGAAAGGTCACTTTTTTGCCTCAACTGCTATAGGACATTGGGCTAATATTTGTTTATGTGTTTGTCTTATGTCTTCTACAGGATTGAGAAGTTTTAAGGGCTGGGATTAGTTCTTACTGAATTTCTTTTCATCCTCCAGGCCTAGCACACTGCTTGGCACATGGTAAGTGTAGGTCATCAGCTGTTTGCTGAATTTTGCCAACAAGAACTTCACAGTCTGCGAAGGAGACAGACGTGCATACAGCTACTTCTAACACAAGGCAGGAGGTGTTAGGTGATATAACAAAGGTACAAGGAGAGTTATGTTGGGTATGGAGGAGGGAGAAAGCTGCTCCTAAAGGGAGGATCTGTGGAACTTTCATTAAGAAGATGGCATTTGACCTGGGCCTTGAAGGACAACAGGAAGAGAAGGGGATGGGAGGAGGTCCTTCTGGAGTGGACCATATAAATGACATCAGGGAAGCTGGGAAAGCACAGGAGTTCAGAGAATGGTGGGGTGTATAGGGAGTGTCATGGGTGGAGGGGGGTGTGGGAGATGAGATGGGAAAGATCAGCAGAAGGCAGAAAGCGAAGGGCATTGAATGCTGTGTTAGGATGTTGCAACTTTGTCTTGTAGACAATGGAGAGCCATGGATGTTTCTGAAACTGAAGCATTCTGTTGTCGAGTTTGAAAGATCTCTCTGGTGTCAGCGTAAGAAGGGAGAGAAGATACAAGACCATAAGCTGAAGCTCTTGATAGGAGGCTGTGGCAATAATCCAGGTGAGAGATAATGAGGCCTAACGAGGGTTGTGATGGTGGGGATGGAGTGGAGAAAAACCAAAAGGGCCAAAGGAATGGATGGAAGGATGGATGGATGGATGGATGGATGCAGTGGTGTCCTGAAGCCACTGACACTGGCTCATGAGAGTAGATTGTTACATTTTGGGGAATTTTGCCAACTGGTTTTTAAACACAGCCATTAAAAGTAGTAATAATAAATAAATACACATATATATCTCATATATCATCATATATATATATCAAAGCCATTAAAAAAATATATATATATGTTTTATAAACGTACAGTCAAATTATTACCAAAAAAGTAGTTTCCTAATTGTTTTAGTACTATCTGTGCTCTTCAGGTTATTTACATCTATTGTACTTATATGGTGAAAATACTATATAATGGCTTGCAACTGCACAGCTCTTCCCAACTTCACATGCAGTGATGGCTCGTTGGTAGATTGAAATCAGAGAGTTTACACCATGGGAATCAGCAAAAGCTACAAATCAGGGTTCTTTTTCCTGAAGTGCTGGTTGTTAAATATTTACCAGTACACCCATCAGATTGACAAATAAATGGATAGGAGAATGGACAAAAAACTGACTGGAGACAGTGCTATTCTCCAGTAAGAAAAGGGACTGAAATAAAACCATATTGGAGCTCAAAGCCCAGAGGCAAGCCCTGTAATAGAAGAACATGGGGGCCCTCATTCCTGTCCCCTCCCCCGACCCATTCCCCTCACTTTAGCTCCACTGTTTCCACAAGCTGGTGCAGCCTCAGTGTGTCCTCTCGGAGGTCCTGGTAAAGGGACTCATCCTTCATAATCAGCAGGTACAAATCCTGGGGAGAGGAGGAGAGAAGGTGACGGCAGGGGTCTCATTCTGAGCATCACTCTCTGCAAGGGCTGGGGCAGGGTCCCCATGCCTTCAAGCGTAGAAGAACCATATAAGCTAAGGCCTACTGGCATGTTTTCCTTCCAGATACCCAGCTTGAGGAGTATGGCTCCTTCAAAGGGCCCCTTTCCAGAGCTAATAGCCCGCTCACCCACAGGCCCTCTTCCCCCAGGCCCACCTTGATGATGCAGCCGGCCCCCTCTTCCTCCTGCAGCAGCCCCTGGTATGTGTCCAAGAAATGAAGAAGCATGGCTAGGCAGGCCTGCTTCCGGCCCAGCCCCTCGGGGCCCTCCATGCCTCCTGCCCAAACAAAGCTGACCCCTAAGTTAAGAAAAAGCCTTGGGCAAGCAGATCTGAGGAAACTGGGAAGGGGATGGGAGGCTAAACCTCCTAGAGATATTCTCTAGGTTTGGGGCCGGGGAGAAAGAGGCCAGGGATTCCTGGAACCAAGACCCCCTCATGCCCCAGCCCAGGTTTTTGCTCGGATTAGGTAGGGATGGCACCCACTTGACCATATCCAGCTCCTGCCTATTTGAACTTCACTTGAGGATACCCTGCCTGGACCCACCCAACCTCTGGCCGGCCCACAGCCTGGAGCTCACAGCAGCCTAATGAAGGCCAATGGTGCTTACCACAAACCTGACCATACCTCAATGTAAGGCCTGGCATTTCTAAGAAAGCCTATGATATTCTATTCAGCAGACTGACATTTACAATTAGGTCCTAAAATAACTCAATGAGAGGCCCTATGCTTACATGAGACCCTATGAATAGCCCAGCCAGTGGCTGGTCTCTAGCAGACCCTACTACAGCACAGCCATGACCTGATGTTTACATCAGACCCCGTAATAACTCACTGGGCAACCAGATGTTTAGAGCAACAATTCAGTGGGGAAACAGGCACTCTTAATAGAATAATGACACCTTACATTTGTACAGGGCTCTGCAGTCTCCAGAGCACTCCCACATCTGCTATCAGATGGATCTGCACAGCATTCCTATAGGTAGGCAGGGCAGGTGCTATTTACCCCCATTTTACAGAAGAGGAAATTGAGGCCCCAGGAAGTTAGGTGATCTGCCCAAGGTCACAAAGCTGGTGAGTAAAAAGCCTGGAATTGAAACTCACGTATGCTTTCTAGGGAAGAGCTTAGGGCCTGACATCACATGTGGGGTGGGCAGGGTGGCTCCCTCCTGACCTCCCCTTTTGCAAGCACTACAAAAGGATATTACTGGTGTAGCTCCTGCAGAAATTTCTCCGTGGGGAGGAAGAGAGAATGGGTGAGGACGATGTCATCCAGCAGGATATCTGTAGAGATCAATTGGTGCCACTGATGTCAGGAGGGCACTTCCAGGACCCAACTGGACACTTCCCATCCCCCTCTCTTGCCTCTGAGGCTGAGTTCTCATTAGCCAGGCTGGAGCCCCAGCCACCTGCCCTGTCATGCTTCGCACAAGCGCACACACACACATGTGTGAAGGTTCTGGGCAGCCGCTGCGGGGGTGGGGTTGGCAGCTGCCAAGGCAGCTGGAGGGAAGGAGGGGGTGCCCTTCCATGGCCACGCCCACTTCTCTTCAATGTGTGGGAAGCTGGTCAGATAATACACCAAGCTCGAGATCTGCCTGAAAAAAGAGGTAGCCCACAGAATTGTCTCTAGATAAAGAGAACGTCCACACACAGAGGTTAGGGTCAGCAGGGTGTGTGTGTGTGTGTTTATGTATTCCTCCTCTCCTCCTCACTCCCTACCTAACAGCTTTGAGTTCCAACTAGGCAGGTGAGAACCAGCCCATTAAAAGGGAGAGGGAGCAACTGCCATCTCTTTGATCCCAAAGCCTTTAAGTAGAAAACCTGTGTCCTCTGAGTGCCCAGAGATGGAAGGGTTAATGATGGAAGGGTAGATGGGAGTGGCTCTTCTCACCACCCTTTTCCCCACCACACCTCCATCTGGGCCTGGCTCAGCCAGTCAGCCAGGTACAAGGTCGCCCTGACTTGCAGCCTGCCCTGGGGTGGGGCTGGGCAGCCTGGCACACACAGACAGGTAGGGCACAGAGAGGGAGCCAGGTGTCCTCACCAGGACAGGTTAGGGCCAGGTCCCCAGGCACTGCCCCAGGACAAAAGCAAGGCTTCTGACGGCCCGTGGCTCACCATCTCCTGGCCTCCAATTCTAGCCATGAGGTGGAAGAGGAGAACCAACACAAGATCCTCTCCTTCAACTATTTCATTTCACAAATGAGAAAGCGAGGCCCAGAGCTGGGAGGTACTTGCCTGGTGCTGGAACAAGAACCCAGACTCCTGAGTCTTTGTTCTTTTCTCAATATGCCTGAGACAAGTAGAGTGTCAGGGTAGAGCCCAGTGGTCATATGGGGCTGCTTAGATGTTTCAGAGACTTTGGCTAGTTTGGGGGTACCTTCTGGAAGTTCCCTTCTCCCACACACCCTGGGAGGAAACCAAGATGGCTTGAGAACATTGGTTATATTGGAGAATATCAGAGTAGCAGGTTAAGCTGATTCTCATCCACTCTAGGACTGGTTTGGGGTTTCCCAAACCAGTTTCTCCAGGGATCCAGCCTGCCAGGGCAGATAATACAGTGACAATCAATTCAGGAGTCCTTCCCCAGGGGAGACTGAGCAGAGTCTGTGGCACCAGGTTCCTGTAGAAGGGGAAAGACAGTTTCTCCTTTTTCCTCTCCTTTTTCCTTTCCTGCTGTGATCATAAAGTGAATCTGAGAGCCCCCGCCCCAACCCCCAGCTCCAGGGTTGAAACTAGAAATAGGGATGCCCAACATCCTTCCTATACGGACTCTTTAATTCACAAGAGAGCAAAGCCAGAGCAAAGGAAGAGGAACATGGGGCAGGGTTGGAGAGATGCTGCTATGGGGGCTACAGTTTGGCATCAGTCCCTTCCAAGGCAGGCTCTGGTCCAACGCACAGCCTCCCCAGGGAATGTGTCATAGAGATACAGGGTGTATGGTGTAGGCGGGAAGTTATGGTTAGGAGAGCTGTGTGTGTCTGATATTTTTCTAATTAAATCCAAAAGGTGTCAGCTCCCCAGGGCAACTACAGCCTGAGCCAAGGAGAGGACCTGGGTTTTGAGAAAAATCTAGAGGAGTGGAGCCCCATTCCATACAACTAGGTTAGGGCTCCCTGAAGAAGTCTGAGAGCCAAGTGTGAAATCCCCATCTTCAGGCCCTCAACCAGGGCTCCCAATCCTCAGACCCTGCTGGGTTTGGTGACATGCCAAGAGCTAGACCTAAAGACCCGAAAGTCTTCTATGCTGGCCGCTAACCAGCAGTTTGGGGCCTCAGTTTCCTCAAAGTCCCCTTAGTAGGGGTGCTGGTGAGGAGTGGTGAAATAGCATCATCGTTCAGGGAATAAGCCTCTCAGGGTGTGGTTTTTTTTAACAGGCCCTGTGCTGAGGCCTGCCACTGGAAGGGCGGGAGTTAGAGAGGCTCAGACCCCCCTGGATGCTGCAGGGCTCTGATGTCTGCCCAGCCAACTCTCCCCCAACAAACACCTTCTGAGTCAGCCCCCAATTAGAACGCCTCCCTCCAGCCCAAGCTGCTAAGGACAATGCATCCCTTTGCCTGAGCCCAAAAGGCAGCTTGAGCCCTGTGCCTGTCTGGCACTGCCCCACTGAGGGGGCCAGCCCTGTGCTCTGGGGCTTCTAAACAGAATCAGGCTCCTGGAAGATCTTTCAGGGGTTGGGTACTCTAGGGGGGGTGGCGCTGGGCTGCTCTGGGCAGCTTCCATCTTAGTGTGTCAGGCCCTCATTTTGGGCCACAGAAGGAGGTAGTCAATATCTGAGACCCCTGAGAGTCTGCATAAAATGCCCAGGGGAAAGGAGGGGTGACTTAAGGAGAGAAAGAGGTTCAGCGTCTTCTCCAGCCGTGGGTGAGGCTGCTACAGGGAGGAAGGTGGCACTGCCACTTCTCTTCTGCAGAAGGGTCTGTTCCTCCTATAGGCCCCCACCCCACTTCAGCTGACCACTCAACCCCACACCGAGGCTCTGCTTAGAGCCACTCCCACTCTCCAAGGGCAAGGAAGAGGAAGCAGGTGGCAACCCCCTACTCCAGGATGGATGAGCCAGCCGACTCCTTACCTGAGGCGGCGCTGTCCCTGGTGGCCCCTCCGGCCAGCCTCTCCAGAACCCGGTTCAGAAGATGCTCCGGCCGCTCGGGGGCGCCCAGGGGGGCCCAGGGAGGGGAAGGCAGGGGCTCGCCCGGGGACAGCTCATCTGAGGAGTACGAGGAAGGGGAGCGCAGGGGCCCCCCTCCCCCGAGCGGCCCAGGCCCTGGTACCTCCTCTAGCTGCAGCCAGCAGGGCCCCCCACTGCCTAGCTCCTCCGCGACTCCCGCGGGCTCTGCCCCTTCCTCCTCAGGAGGCGGCTCCAGCCCCGGTTCGGCGGGGGGCTCCCGGAGGAAAGCTGGGAGCAGCAAGCGAGACACGCTCTGACGCCGCTGCAGCGGCCGCGGTCCCCCAGCTGGACCGCCTCCCCCGCCAGGTCCCCCACCCCCTCCAAGCCCGCTGCAGCTCCCTGGACCCCCGCCGGGACCTCCTGCCACCGTTCGCCCCGCCAGCTGCGACGTCTGCTTCTTCAAAAATTTCTCCAGCGGCTTCATGCCCCCCCCCGCCCCTCTCCTCGGGGCCGCCGGGGGACCCAGGTGTCCCAGGCGCGGGCGGGGGGGGCGGGGACACGATGCTCAGAGCCGGAGGGGCAGAGCGGAGGGCCGTCCCAGGCGCTGGACTGGGGGCCAGAGGTGCCTGAGGCTCGCTGGCTGGAGTCCAGTGGCCAGTGGCCGGGGGAGGTGCCAGAGCGAACGAGCGCCCGCTCTTAGTGGCCCCCCATACTGGCTGCAGCCGGCACGCGGCCCGAAGGTGGGTAGGCTCGGGGCCAGTGCCCCCGGCTTTGCGCTCCTGGGCCGGGCTGCGGCGGCAGAAGGAGCGGGCGGAGCGCAAGACTGAGAGGACGCGGCGGCGGCGGCGGCAGCGGCGGCTGCGCTCCTGGCCCGGGGGAAGGTGGCAGAACTGAGGCCGCGCCCCCTCCTCCAGTCCCCGCCCAGTCCCCGCCCCTGCCCTTCCTGGGCCCGCCCCCTGGCCGCGCGAGGCTTGAATTTGGGTGCTGGGGCTGACCAAGCGGGAAACAGTAATGGGTTGAGTGCGCTTGGGTTCAGAGCAGACCAGAAATTAATGGCAAAGGTGAGGGAGTGATTTACTAATGGAGGGGGACTCCTGGCTCGGGGGCTTACAGGGACCCTTCGTATCGTTTCAAAGAACCAGGGCAGGTCTGTGGCCTGCACTGCTTAACTCACCTACCTGTACTCAGGTGAGGCCTACAAAGATTGCTGATTGGATGTCCATCACTCTCAACCCCGATAGTGTGCTCTGTTGCCATACTCACAGGAATATGTGCTCTTTATCTTCCGTAAGAAGGACTGGGAAGGCCCCAGGTGGATTGGCATTGGCACTGGGGGCAGTACCCATCTGCCCTTTCTGGTAAGGCACGGTAGGTGGTGAGGGCCTGGTCTGTGAGAGGCAGGTACTGGCAGGCAGATAGGAGCTGGGCAGGGAGAAGCAGGTTGTGGCAGGTCTAGTTGGGGTGAGGAGAGAGACAGTAGCAGGGGGGAGGAGACCAGGAGCACAAGGGCACCTGAGCCCAGCTGGCAGCAGAAGGAAGCAGGGCTGTGGAGATAGGTAAAGAGATCCAGAACTGCCAACCAACATCTTCAAACATAGAGAGCCCCTCTAGAGTTGACATAGCCATGGAGTGGGGAAAGTGGTGCCAAATTTGCACTCCAAATAGTTCTTATTCCTGATGCCTATGCCAGGAGCATTGTGTACCTAAGGGTACACTGCCCCCAGAAGGAGGAGGAGGGGTATAAAGACATGCTCAGTGTAAGCACATCAAGGTTAAGGTAACAAGGTGGGGAAGTGGCACCAGGTTCCAGATGGGTTGAGGCTCCTTCAACAATGCCCCACCCCTGTTTACTGTGCACCAACCAGGCAGGGACAGGAATGCTAAAGGCTGGGAGTGGTGTTAGAACTGAACAGGGTGTGTACTACACATGTGTCACTGTGTGTGTATATCTGGTCCTATGTGCTAGAGCATGTGTTCACAGAAATAAAGATTTGCACACCCATCTGTTTGTGGATTTGGAAAGGGGACAGTGAAAAAGAGAGAGCACAATTTTGGCTAAGAAGCTGGAATAGAGATTTGAGTATCAGTTTCTTGGGTTCCCTTTATTGGATACCCCAATATCACTGGGGTTAAGAGTGAAACTAGCTGGAGTGGTTTGGTGCTCCCCAGGCATTTTATGAACCGAATAAGAAGAGGGGAGGGCTCTACTCCCAGCACATGCCACAGTTACCAGATTAAGCTGGTTGCCTTGGTAACCTCCTCTCTGGGCAGGATTTGGGATTGTCGGTTAGGAAGGGGGAAGAATTGGGGAGTGTGGAGGGTGTGGGGGGGTGGAAATAAAAGGGGCAGAGAGACCTCTGGAAACTGGAAGCTTTGGGAGCAGGACCCCAGCACCCCTCCAATTACTCAAGGATATCAGGCAGACACTAATTTCTAGACCTTGAATCAGAGAGGAAAGCCAGCCTCAAGTCATGGTCCTTGTAGAGCAGCAGTAGTTCTCACCCTAACTGCATGCTGGAACCCCGGGGGAACTTCTCAGAAACACTTGATGCCCAGGCCACACCCCAAATCAGTTAAATCCGATCTTTGAGGTGGGGCCAAAGTTTACGGTATTTTTTAAAAGATGCCTAAGTGATTCAAATAGCCAGGGTTGAAAATCACTGCCCTAGAGGGACAACCCAACCCAAGTGGCTGGAGATGCTGGCAGACAACTTTGAGATTCTAAGACCTTGCTGTCCTCAGTTGTCCGCAAGTTAAGCTTGTGTGCTGACCACACGGGGGACGGGGGTTGGCAGGGCATCATGGAAGAAGTAGAGGGAGAGGGTATGATTCAGAACTGTGAGGAGATCAGGGCAAAAATCTTTAACTGAGAGCCCAGCCCATGGACTTCTAGAAGAGGATTGGGCAGGGCTACCCAAGGATGATCCTTCTACCCCTTAGACTCCCCTTCTTTTTGCCCACCGAGAGGCAGACTGGGGCGAGGGGCAGAGAGAACCTGGGGGCTTTGCTGAGCTTGAGTTTCTTCTTGCTGAGCTGGTTACCAGGGCAACAGAGAGCAATGGGATCTAACTGCAGGACTGGGGAAGCAAGAGGCAGGGGTGAGGGAGGAAGCATCTTAACATACTCATTCCTCCTACTAGTAACCCACCCCCAAGGCTGGCTGGCATTCTTTGCATGACCTCAGAGATCAGGCCCATAGTTACCCATCACCCTGTGGGGGAGGAGAAAGGAAGCAACATGACTTGACTTGAAGAGAAATGAGGGATGGGGGTCAGGAGAGTCACGGTCCTCTGGGTGTAGCAGCAGTACCAAGTGGTGTAGGAAGAGTTGCAACTGTCATTTTAAGATGCACCACGATGCCCATGCCCCCAGTGTACAAGGATTTGTGGGACCCAAGAACAGATGCTGCCAGCTCCACATTAAACTCAACTGCTCTCCCGTACCAGGGACAGCCTCTGTAGTCAACTTCCACCCCACCAAGGACCTGGAGGAAGAAACAGTCAACTCAAAGCTAGGAACTGCCCTGTACACATGGAGGCCAAGTGGCCTAGGTAACCAGCAGAATGAGCCCAGCTGGTGGTCTTTCAATTGCCCCTCCTCTATACCTGTACTAAGATTGATAGGAGCCTCTCTTAGACTGTCATCCTGAATACTTCAGTGCCAACATCTTTACTTTTCAAGAAAGCTAGGGGCCAGCCCAGTGGCATAGCAGTCAAGTTGGCACACTCTGCTTCAACAGCCCAGAGTTCGAGGGTTCAGATCCCGGGCATGGACCTATGCACCACTTATCAAGCCATGCTGTTGTAGACATCCCACATATAAAATAGAGGAAGATGGGCACAGATGTCAGCTTGGGGCCAATCTCCCTCAGCAAAGAGGGTTAGCAGTGGATGTTAGCTCAGGGCTTATCTTCCTCAAGAAAGAAAAGAAAAAAAGCTAGCTACCTACACCTTCTCCTCACCCAGTTCCTGGTAGAGTTGTATCGACACCTGATAAATTACCCTGGTAAACTTACTTGTCAAACACAAAGGCAGGCATGAGGGATGCTTAGATGTTCATGTGGGTAAGCAGCATCTCACCAGTTTTTCTGTCCTTGATACTTCCAATCTAAGGGACTCGTGATATCCTGCTATCTATATGGCAAGGTGGTTAGGAAAGATAACTGATGGGGAGTGCAGGCACACTTACGGCCTCAAAGGCGCTCCTCACCTCTTTGGGCTTCCACTTCACAAGTCTGACCTGGCTCGAGTAGTAAATGTGACTCTGGGGGATCAGAGTCCTCTTCCCTCCCTCCCAAATCAAGATTCATGCAAAACACTAGCAAACAAGCCAAGTTTACAGTCTAAATTTTATTATTTCCAAGTCACAATGCTGATCACAAATGTGCACCCTTTAAAACAGTAACAAAAAACAACACACACGGAAAAATCTTTGCAATGAAACACAGCGGACCAACAGAGACAACTGTCACAGTGTCTTAAGGTCTGGGAATCTGGGCATGCTGCCCACAGGCTTGAGGAGACATCTTCAGGTTTAAGGCAAAGGGAACAGCCTACAAAAGGCACAACCACCAGCTACCCCTAGAAGAATGTTTTAGGTATTTCCTCCTTGGGGGTTACAGCTTGAGTGCCTCTCCCCTCTCCCCACCCCACACCTGTGACTAAGAGTGGTCAGGCCAGCTGCTGGAGAGAAGGAATAGAAATACAGTGACGCTACTTCGGGAGAGACACAGCCGCCACCTTCTCCCTCAGATTCTGTAGAAGGACAGGGACAGGGGCCAAATTACCCCTGGCAGACACAAGTGCTGCAGTAACAGTAATCTCTTCCGCAGAGGCATCAGGGAAGTGGTTCAATGCCATGGAAGGGAAGGAGGGAGGGAGGAGCCCTTGCCCCAAAAGTGACTGGCTTCCTTAGGCCTTAAGCCCAGGTGTGGTATCTTCTTCTGTTTCCAAGGACAGAAATAGAACTTGGGAAAAATAAGGTAGTAACATCTAAAACATTTGTAGCAGGAAAGACATGAAGAGCAATTGCAAAGGACAGGAGAGAGTGCTTGCTGGGTAATATCTGCCTCTAGAGATGCATTGGTCCACAGCAACTGGAAACGGGGTGTGGTAGGAGGGATGGAAAGGAGAGGAGCACGGCCCTCTAATTCCACTTACCTCAAAGACTGAGCCCCGAGGACTGTGTGAATACATATCCCTAAGATGCAAAGGCTCTCAACTCTACCCTTCCTTTCTCATCAAAGCATCTGGTTTGCCTTCTCTCCCCACAGTAGAGACTTTTCCCTCAACAGAACACTGAAGCCGACCAGAGTACAGGGACTGATAGAGGCTCGGACTCCTAGAAACCAAAGGCAAGAAGAAAGGCTCCTACCACAAACTTTGAGCTTTTCTCCATAATAGGACACTGTGCAAACAGCTATGTTTCCATAGGGTTAAAGAAGTTAAGAAAATCCAAGTATACAATAACAAAACCAACCAAAAATGAAAGGCCAGCTCTTTGTAGACTTAGTGGGAGAAGACTAGCTGGTGCATTCTCAATTATCTGGGATGCAGGAGAGAGTCAAAAGGGAACCCAGAAGAGCTAGCAAACCAGAAGGAAGAACTTGTCTCATTTAAAAGCTGAGAGAGAAAAAGAAACAGACAGAGAGAAAGAAACTAAAAGAATATTAAGTTAAGAATAGCAAGCCAGGCTTTAAAAACGAACATCTCAGAAAACAAAACAAACAGGAAAGAGCTTCCCTGGGAGCAGAAGACACTTGAATTTCCCAGGAGAAAGTGTAGAAGAGCAAAAGACATGGGCTTCTAGATGCAGAGCTAGAAGCCTGGGCTGTCTGGATCTCTGCTCCTCTGAGCACAGCCAACTCAAGTACAGAGTGG